TAGGGTCCCATAACCTTTCACCCCTTGAGCAAGGACTGTCCATGGTCTGCTGTGGTTGGACTGGGGATCCGCAAGGACCTTCAGCCTCTTCATCTGCTCCTCTCTCTACTCTGTGACTCCTTGCTCAGTTCGCTCCAGCCACCCCGGCCTCATTGCCGTTCCTCCAACACACCAGGCATGTTCCAGCCTCAGGGCCTTTGCACCTGCTGGGCCTTCCGCCCGGAGCACTCTTCCTCCAGATGTCGAGCTGCTCCTTCAAGCCTCATCCTTGTCCCCATCACCTTTTCCCTGCAGGGACATCAGCTCTGTAACGCTTCCTGTGGCTGACTGTCCCCCGTGCCTCCCATTGTAGACATTTCCTAAGTCTGTGCTGAATGAACAAATGACAGACAGACGGATGGACAGGGGTGGGAGGAAGGCAGGGCCAGGCACAGGGCAGAAGTGGTCCCCCAGGCATGGCTGGTAGGAAATGATCACTCTTCAGACACCGTGTTGTGGGACCCTGGACTAAAATCTGTCTCTAGGAGTCCAGGAGGAGGTAGGGAGGGAAAGCTGAACTGAGCTCCAGGCAGCTCAGTGTGTGTATGTGTGTGCGACAGCATCCTATTAACAAAGGTATAGAGTCCAGACTCAGGGAGGGGAAGGTCTCTTCTATGCTACTCTGTTTTTTTGTTTGTTTTTGAAACAGTGCCTTGCTCTGTCACCCAGGCTGGAGTGCAGTAGTGCGATCTCGGCTCACTGTAACCTCTGCCTCCTGGGTTCAAGCAATTCTCCTGTCTCAACCTCCCAAGTAGCTGGGATTACAGGAACATGCCACCACACAGGGCTAATTTTTATATTTTTAGTAGAGATGGGATTTCACTATGTTGACCAGGCTGGTCTCGAACTCCTAACCTCAGGTGATCTGCCCGCTTTGGCCTCTCAAAGTCCTGGGATTACAGGCGTGAGCCACTGCACCGGGCCTCTCTATGCTACTCTGGTCAGAGCCATGATGGGTCTGAGGGGCCTACTCAAGGATGGCAAAGAAAAGCCTGTGCCTGGCCAGGTGTGGTGGCTCATGCCTATAATCCTAGTTCTTTGGGAGGTTGAGGCTGGAGGCTTGCTTGAGGCCAGGAGTTCAAGACCAGCCCAGGCAACATAGTGAGACCCCCGTCCGTCTGTACAAAAAAATTTTTAACGATTAGCTAGGCATGGTGGTGCATGCCTGTGGTCCCAGCTCTCAGGAGGCTGAGGTAGGAGGACGACTTGAGCTCAGGAGGTCGAGGCTGCAGTGAGTTATGATCATGCCACTACACTCCAGCCTGAGGGACAGAGCAAGACTCTGCCTTTGAAAGAAAGAGGCCAAGTGCAGTGGCTCATGCCTGTAATCCCAGCACTTTGGGGGGGCTGAGGCATTTGAGCTCAATAGTTTGAGACCAGCCTGGGCAACTGGCAAAACTCTACAAAATCACTACAAAAATTGCAAAAATTAGCCAGGTATGGTGGCTCGTGCCTGTAGTCCTAGGCTGATTGCTTAAACTTGAGAGGTAGAGGTTGCAGTGGGCCAAGATCACACCCCTGCACTCCAGCCTGGGCGATAGAGCCAGAACCTGTCTCCAACAAAACAAAACAAAACAAAAAACAAGAAAGAAAGAAAAGAGCCCACCCGTACTGAAAGGCGTGGGGAAGAAAACAGGGTTGGTAAAGAGCAGTCACAAAAGAGAGTGAGACGGGCTGGGTGCGGTGGCTCACACCTATAATCCCAGCACTTTGGGAGCCCAAGACAGGTGGATCACCTGAGGTCAGGAGTTTGAGACCAGCCTGGCCAACATGGTGAAACTCTGTCTCTACTAATAATACAAACATTAGCCGGGTATGGTAGCATGCGCCTGTAATCCCAGTGACTCAGGAGGCTAAGGCAGGAGAATTGCTTGAACCTGGGAGGTAGAGGTTGAAGTGGGCCAAGATCACACCACTGCACTCCAGCCTGAGCGACAAGAACGAAACTCCATTCCAAAAAAAAAAAGTAAGATGTCTGCTACTGAATTATCAAACAGAGGTTTCAAGATCCTTTCCTCCTATGAAAGCTCCAGCTTCCTTGGCTCCCAGCTTGCCACCCACTCCTGGTTTTCCTTCTGCCCTCTTTCTGCTGTCTCCCAAGCTCCCAGCTTGCTTCAAAGCCCATCCTACGCCGTACCACCTGGGTGTCTAGTGGCATTGCAATTTCCAGATGCTGAGAACAAATTGCTGATTTGTACCTAAAGCTGCTCTGCCATGAGCAGTTGCTCCCTCCCCCAGGCCTCTCCATACCTCTCCAAGATCCAGCCAAGTCTCACCCGTCCATGCCTTTACTTGGTCTGGCCCCATCATTTCTCCCTTATCCTGGTGCAGTCCCTTCCATCCTGGTCTCCAGGCTCCTGCCTTCGACCCCTGCAGTCTGTTCCCTGAGCTCTAAATAATGCCAAATACTTGTTCAAGGTTGGCAGGCTAGCTCTGCCCTTCCTCCTCTCCCCTCTTCTGGATCTTACAGCCCTGGCTTTGTGGTTCTTTCATCCAAGCACCCTGGCAATTTCTCTCCTCTGCAGTTTGCTCCCTGGGCTCTTGGCCTGGTTAACTCCTCCTGACCCTTAGTGACCCAGCCAACTATCACCTCCTCCAGGAGGCCTTCCCTGACTCCTCCTTAGGCTGAGTCAGGTGACTTCTCTGGACTCCCCCTGGCCCCAGGCATGACTTTTTTTTTTGGGGGGGGAGATAGTCTCACTTTGTCACTCAGGCTGGAGTGCAATGGCGCGATCTCAGCTCACTGCAAACTCTGCCTCCCAGGTTCAACAGATTCTCGGCTTCCCAAATTGCTGGGATTACAGGCGTAAGCCACTGCACCTGGCCTCTCTGTGATATTTTAATAGCCTCCAGCTCTGTGATATTCTCGTGATATTTTAATAGCCTGTTTAGCAAGTATTCACCACCAGCCAGGCACTGTGTTCAGCTCTTTACCTATAGGTCATGACCGCTATTATCCCATTTTACAGGTGGAAAAACTGAAGCACGAGGTGGTGAACTCAGTAGCCCAGAGGCCCTCAACTCAAAGTGGCAGGATAGGGCTTGTGGGTGCCTGGGGGTGGGGGTGGTGGTCAGGCTTAAGCCCAGCCGATGGGAAAGGGAGAAGCTTGTGGTGCTCAGAGAAACGGGCAGGGCAGCGAGCTCCCAAGGCACCTGCCTTTCTATGCCATCCTATGGGTGGGAGAAGGGGACCTGGGCCCACTTCTCCTGCCAACTACAGGCATCCCAGTGGCTCCTGAGCCAAGACATTCTGTGCCAGGCACTGGTCCAACCGCTTTATTCAACCTGCAGACAGCCCTGGGTCGATAGGTGGACACTGTTGTGAATTTCTCAGAGAAGAAAATGGAAGTCCACCTATCCTGAAACTCTCACCGGGCATTAGAGCCCTCCATGGTTCCTTAGGGGTGTGGCTGCCACCAAGATCTGCCTAACCTCGGCTTTCACTGATCCATGAACACTCCCAGGGCTCACATACTACTGACCCATTCTACAGATGGGTAAACTGAAGCTCAGCAACCTTTCCCTGGGGGCCCTATAGCCAGTTCAATGACCAAGGCCGCCCACCGCCCAGGCTCAGAGTACCTCTGCTGGCAGTGGGTGAGCTGGAAAAGCAGGTAAGGGAGGTCCTCACTGCCTCTTCCTCCACGCCTGGCTGGGCCTGCTGGGGCCCAGGTGCACTGAATGAGGCTTCTAGTCAGCTCTGCAGCTCCACTTCTGTGTTTATTCACAGCAGCTGCTCCCGGAAGGCACCCCCCCCCCCATTTGAGGCTGGGGAGGCCGAGGGCTTCAAAGGCAGTTCCACAGTCCAGGAACCCTATCCCCATAGAACAGACCCAGGTCGCCCCAGTGGGGTCACTCTGGCCTCTGCGCTCAGATGCCCGAGATCTTGCCTGAGCTCAGACTGGAGTCGACGGGTGCATTCCCCCATCTCATAGGTTTTGCAAACCACAACAGCCTCTCCCTGCCCGCCTCCCTGGGTCCCCCAGAGCGGCTTCTCCCCAAGTCTCCCATCCCAGCAATGAAAGCCTCTTCTATATACTCCTAACTACCCAGGAGAAACATCGGTTCCCCACGCCTCACTTGCAAACAGAATTAGACGATGCTCCTCTGCCAAAGCGAATTTTCAGTTCACCCACTTCCTATCACACCTTCCAGCCGGGTCAGGCCAGCAGCCCCCTTCCAAATATCCCCATCACAGCGGCTACGGGATATTCTTAACACACAATCCGATCACGCCGTGCACCTGCTGTTCCAAGCCTTCCTGGTCCCCACCGCCCTGAGAACGGGTCCACACTCTCCTCGCCGCTTCCCAGACCCGGGCAAACCTCTCTCCACCTCCGACCCTCCCTTCTCCGCGTTTCAGCCACGCTGGCCTCTTTTCTGCTCGGCACACACTCCTGGCTGGGCCCTGTCCCACAATCTTGCTGTTTCCTGGGCCTAAAAAGCCCTCGCTGGCTGGTCCAACCAGGCCAAATGACATTATCCCCACCTGGGCACCTCCACCTCACCCCGGCCGCCTGATGCGTTAGCTCGGGATTGGAATGACGTGTTTAAGCCGTTCTCAGAAGCCGTCTACGCGGCCGGGCTGCGGGCTCCAAGGCCAAGGTCCCAGCTGCGTCCCCAGCCCTGGCACGTCGGGGGCACGGGGCGCTCCCCCGGCTCACACATCCGAATTCCCCCGCGTCACGAGGCCAGGATCGCCCCTACTCGCTCCCGCCCGTTTCGCAGCCGCGTCCTCGGACACCCGCGGCGCCCTGGCCCTCGTGGGGGAACGCGGACCGCTCGGGGAGACGGCCCAGATGGGGAGCCCCGAGGGGGACAGTCCCCGGCGGGGTGATGGGGGCTGGAGCCCAGTTGCGAGTGGGGACCGCCTGTGACCGCCATGGCTGCGGAGGCGGGGCCGGGGCCAGCCGTGAAGGTGGCGTTCGGGGCGGTGTTCGCGGCGCGGGGCGCTCGCTTACCTGGGGGCGCAGGCGGCAGGACGCACCGAGAGCCTGCGGCGGGGCTGGGGACGGCGCGCCTGGCGGGGTACCCGGAGCAACGGCAGGCACGCGAAGCCCGCTCCAGGCAACCGGACTCTGCTCCCGGCCGGTCCTCGGCCCCCAGCAGGGGAAAAAAGGCTTGAGTGGGGGGGAGGCCGGGGCGGGGCCGCGGGGGCGGGGCCTGGGCGGGGCGCGCGCCCCAGAACGGTGGGGCCTGGCTCTGGGCTGGGGCCCTGGAGAGGCGGGGCCTGGCGCGGGGCGGGGAACTTGGAGGGGCAGGGCCTTGAGCGGGCGCGGGGTACCCCAGGCGCTTGTCACCCTCGGCGCAACTAGGCCTCTCCTTAGCCCCTGACCCTATTCCCGCCCCCGCCCCCGTTCCCGCTCCGCCCATCTCTGCCCCGCGGCGCGCCTGGCCCAGGTCCAGCCTCGCGTCTCAAGCCTGCGCCTTATCTCTCCCCTTTGAACTCAGCATTGTCCGCTGCGTGCTCCGTCCGCCCCGGCTTCACCCTTGTTCGCTGTCTCCCCGGTCCCCTCCCGGGGGTCCCCTCTTCTGCCGGAGATGCTCTGGCTCCGCTCATCTGTCCACACCCCTACACTGCCGGGGCGCCCTGAGCCTCTGGGGCGCGCAGTTGCGTGGTGCACGGGGGCGGCTCAGACTTCTCCAGGCCTCATCGGCCACCCTGGGTACCCCGACTCTGGGGCCCTGTTGGAGGGCCAGTCCAGGGGGTTCGCCAGAGGCGCGCGCGGGGACCAACCGAGGCAGTGAGGGCATCTGGGCAAAGGCTGCGGTTTGGTGGGTGCAGGGGTCAGGCGGCAGAGCTGGGGAGATGGGAGATAGGCCGGGTGGGTGGTGGCACAGCCCTGGTTTTGGCTGAGGGCAGCAGCAGTGGGGGCTGGGTCCCCCGCTTGCCTGATAGAACCGAAAATGACCGGATCTCAGCAGCGCAGGCAGCCTGGGCGATCCCTAAATAGAGGACAGTCCGAGGGGGTTTCAGAGTCGCTGGCCCACCGCGTGTCCTCTGGGCAAGTGGCTTCGCCTTACAGAGACAATAAGCCTCTGTAAAATGGGGAAAATAAATCTTTCTCTGACTCAGCTCACCAGACCCGAGACCCATTGGGGTGAAGTTGAGGCCTCCCTGGCCATAGGGCCCCAGGCAAGCTGAGATTTTATTTCCTCACAGAAAAGGGGCGCGGGGAGCGGGCGCGGCGGGGGCGGTCAGGGAGGCAAGAGACCTCTGTTGCAAGTGTGGAAGAACCTGTCCCTCCAAGTTCAGACTCCTGGCCTTTGCACTTAGCCTTCCCTCTGCTACACTGTTTCTCTTTTCTTTCTTCTTTTTTTTTTTTGGCAGGGGGACGAAGTCTCGCATTGTGGCCCGCCGGGCTGGAGTGCAATGGCCGATCTCGGCTCACTGCAACCTCCGCCTCCCAGGTTCACTTGATTCTACTGCCTCAACCTCCCGAGTACCTGGGATTACAGGCGCATACCACCATACAGGGCTAATTTTTTGTATTTTTTTTTTTTTTTTTTTTTTTTTTTTAGTAGAGACGGGGTTTCACTATGTTGGCCAGACTGGTCTCAAACTCCTGACCTCGTGATCTGCCGGCCTTGCCTCCCAAAGTGTTGGGATTACAGGCGTGAGCCAGCACACCTGGCCTTCTCTTTTCTTTTTTTTTTTTTTTTAATCTGTTAGAGGCTGGGCGCGATGGCTCACACCTGTAATCCCAGCACTTTGGAAGGTTGAGGCGGGTGGATCACCTGAGGTCAGGAGTTCGAGACCAGCCTGGTCAACATGGCAAAATCTCGTCTCTACTAAAAACACAAAAATTAGCTGGAAGTAGAATTACGTGAACCCGGGAGACACAGTGAAACCTCGTCTCTACTAAAAATACAAAAAATTAGCCGGGCGTGGTGGTGCACACCTGTAGTCCCAGCTACTCGAGAGTCTGAGGCAGGAGAATCGCTTCAACCCAGGAGGAGGCAGAGGTTGCAGTGAGTCAAAATTACACTGCTGCACTCCAACCTGGGTAACAGATGGAGATTGTTTCAATTAAAAAAAAAAAAAATTATTTGGTAGAGGTGGGGTCTACGTTGCTCAGTGTGGTCTGGAACTCTTAGGCTCAAGTGATCCTCCTGCCTCCGCTTTCCAAGGTGCTGGGATTACAAGCGAGAGCTGCCATGCCCCAGCCTCTTTTCCCTTTTCAAAAGCGTAACATCCTTCTCTCTCAGGCCTTGGTCCCCTTCTTCCTCCATTGCCTGCTCTACCCCACCCCCACCGTATTCACCTGTTTATTTTCTCCTCTCCTTCTCTCCAAGAGCTTGTTTGCACGCCTGGAAAAGAAAGATAATAAAGCAACTATTCTCAGTTGTTGTGATTAGGGAGCTATTGAATATCATGCGTTGCACCCTCCAGGGTGCTCAGAGCATGACATTTGTTTGTATTAATAATAATATATGACCGGGCTTAGTGGCTCACACCTGTAATCCCAGCACTTTGGGAGGCTGAAGTGAGTGGATTGAACTCAGGAGTTTGAGACGAGCCTCAGTAACGTGGCAAGAGCCCCATCTCTACCAAAACTACAAAAATTAGTCAAGTGTGGTGGTGTGCTCCGGTAGTCCCAGCTACTCAGGAGGCTGAAGTGGGAGGATCACTTGAGCCCAGAAGTCAAGGCTGAAGTGAGCTATGATCATGCTACTGAACTCCAGCCTGGGCAACAGAGTGAGATCCTGTCCCAATTTAAAAAAATAAATAAAGGAGGCCGGGCGTGCTGGCTCACACCTGTAACCCCAGCACTTTGGGAGGCTGAGGCGGTCAGATTATGAGTCAGGAGTTCGAGACCAACCTGGCCAACATGGTGAAACCCCGTGTCTACTAAAAATACAAAAAATTAGCCGGGCATGGTGGTGGCGCCTGTAATCCCAGCTACTCGGGAGGCTGAGGCAGGAGAATGGCTTGAACCCAGGAGGCAGAGGTTGCAGTGAGCCGAGATCACGCCATTATACTCCAGCCTGGGCGACAGAGTTGAGACTCCGTCTCAAAAAAAAAAGACCAGTCTGGGCAACATAGTGAGACTCCCGTATCTATAAATAATAATGATAATATAATACAGGATGCATGGTGGAATGGTGGAGTCCAAGCCCCAGGGGAGAAGCCCCAGGACTCTGGAGAAGCGGAGTAGGGGAGCTCAAAGGAGGATCTGGGCGGACCAGGGCTGGGAAGAGAGTTCAGTTGGAAAGTAAAAGGTTGGGAAGCTGGAGGAAAACACCTGGAGTCAGTCAAGCAGGAAGGGACTCAGGCTGCACCTTCTGCAGTTGGGCAGCTTCTTGCCTGTGCCCACTTTCCACCCAATCCCTGAGCACGGAGCTCAGGCCGGACCTCAAGCTTGAGAGTGAGTGGGTATTCAGGGCAGGCTTCCTGGAAGAGGTGACATCTGAGCCCTGAGAAATGAGTGGGTGGGGGAACTATACTGAGAGGGAGTTTCCTGGGAGGACAGCAGGGCTGGCCCAGCCACAATAAGCCCTCCTGGGTTCTCTCCAGGGAGAGGCACCAATGGACTTACTTATTTTGAGATGGAGTCTTACTCTGTCATCCAGGCTGGAGTGCAGTGGTTCGATCTCAGCTCATTGCAACCTCTGCCTCCCAGGTTCAAGTGATTCTCCTCCCTCGGCCTCTCGAGTAGCTGGGATTACAGGCACGCACCACCACGCCCGGCTAATTTTTGTATTTTTAGTGGAGACGGGGTTTCACCATGTTGGCCAGGCTGCTCTTGAACTCCTGACCTCACGTGATCCCTCAAGGGATTATGGGCATGAGCCAATGCACCTGGCCAACAATTGGACTTAAAATTAGGAAAGAACATTGTGGGAGGCTGGGGAAGGTGTCACTCCACCATGGGCAGCTGGATGGGAGGACCTGGGGCCTGGTTCGGGGGTGATGGACAGGAGGAGAGGGAGGGATTCCAGGGAGATTTAGAGGTAACATTATCAGAACTCAGGGGATGAGGGAAGGCTAGAGCCTGGCTGGTGGCAGTGAGGGTCACCTCCTCTGCTCACCTTTCTCCAAGGCTCCCCCCTGCTCCATGCCTAAATATCCTCATCTGCCCAGAGTAGGTACTTGGCACCTGATCTCCCCCACCTGGCCCCCTGCCCAGCTCCCCAGGGCACTTGGCAACCCAGCATAAGTCCAGCAGGCTAACCGGTTCTCATTGACGATGGCTCCTGCCAAGCCAGGCCCTGCACCCACCTGAGGTTCCCAGTGGCTGAGCTGAATCACGGCCCTAGAACCCTGGGTAAGGAAAGGGCAGTGACATATCTTGTCCTGGAACAGTGACAAGCTGGTCATTGCTGGGGCTGTGCAAAGTGATGTAAAGAGATGGACACAACCAGCCTTCTCTGTGAAGCAGGTGCACTTCAACTTCCCATTTAGGCCAGCTGTGACGGCTCGAGCCTGTAATCCCAGCACTTTGGGAGGCGGAGGTAGGAAGATCACTTGAGCCCAGGAGGTTTTTTTTTTTTTTTTTTTTTTTTGAGAGCGAGTCTTGCTCTGTTGCCCAGGCTGGAGTGCAGTGGCACGATCTCGGCTCACTGCAAGCTCTGCCTCCTGGGTTCACGCCATTCTCCTGCCTCGGCTTCCCCAGTAGGTGGGATCACAGGCGCCTGCCACCATCCCTGGCTAATTTTTGTGGTTTTAGTAGAGACAAGGTTTTCCCATGTTGGTCAGGCTGGTCTCGAACTCTTGACCTCAGGTGATCCACCCGCCTTGGCCTCCCAAAGTGCTGGGATTACAGGCGTGAGCCACCACGACCAGTCTAGGCGGTTGTTTTTGATCCAAGCAATGATGAAACGAATAACCTGCTGCAGAGGTCATATGTCAACCCAGCATGAACAGATCTCATCAGTAAATTCCTAGAAGTAGAATTACTTGTCAAAGGGTGTGAGCAGGTGTATCTTGGATAACTATTGCTAAAGGTTTCCCCACAAAAGACTCAGCCTCCACGTTATCAAACATTCTAATCTTTGCTAACTCAGAGGTTTAAAAGTATGTAGTTCTCATTTGCATTTGCATTTTTTATTTTATTTATTTATTTATTATTTTTTTGAGACGAAGTCTCGCTCTTGTCCCCCAGGCTGGGGTGCAATGGCGTGATCTCGGCTCACTGCAACCTCCGCCTCC